GTATCACATTCAGAAAACATGTGAGTTTGATAACTTTTTGTAAGAAATAAAAGGACAAAGATTTATGATGACCAACCTTTTCTGTATTAATTCATTTTCGGTATGAAAAGTGTCCAACAGGGCCTTTGTGACTCTGCAACAGAACTGGACTCAGATATTCAGCGGTGAGATGATCACCATCAAGTGTGAGATCCAAGGAGGAGAAAACACTGAGTGGCAGTATGAATGGAGAACAACAAGCTCAAAAACACCTCCCACACACAGTGAATACAACATCAGCAGTGCTTCATTTTCCTACAACGGGCAATATTGGTGTAAGGGTAGAAGAGACTTGTTCTTCTCAACAGTTTGGAGTGATGCTTTTACACTAAATGTCTGTAAGTAAAATCATCTTTGAGTTTATTATGTACTCTTTTTCATCTGACCAACTATAGAAAAACAGATTTGTTTTACTCTAACAAACAGCAAACAAACCCAGACCCACAATTACTGCTGAAAGAAGAACTATACCAGCTGGAGGCAATGTAACACTCAGCTGCTCTGTGGGGAGCTACAATGAGTGGAAATACTTCTGGTTCAGACGTGCCTCAGTCTTTTCAGAAATTCAGGTGATTAGAAACAAAGAACCAGATCAAATGATCACTGTCACACAGGGAGGTATCTACTACTGCAAGGGAGGGAGAGGAAACCCAGTTTTCTTCACAGAGGACAGTCATTCAATTACTATTGAAAAAAGAGGTGAGTTTAAGCGTTTTCATTTGGATTAACATGGGATGCAGAAATATTTAAAACTGGACCAATTGGATTTTTGTTTTTGTAAACAGTTTCCAACAAAGCAGTTGTGTCCCTGGATCCCAGCTGGCCTCTGATATTCAGTGGCGAGAAGATCACTGTTAGATGTCAGATTTCTTTAGGTGGAAGCACTGAGTGGGAGTATGAGTGGAGCAAACCCGACTCAAGCACAGTTCTTGCAAATGATGCATACTTAAATCTTAATGCATCTGTGATCAGCAGTGGAAGCTACAGGTGTATGGGTAAAAACAAACAGGAGCTGTATTCTGTGACAGAGTGGAGTGATGTCATCACACTGACAGTCTCTGGTAAGAAAGTTTTGTTATGCCTATATAAGGCACAAGGGCAACATTTTATAACATTTTATAGTTTATATTACAACCACATAGTATGAGTTATCACTAATTTATTGGTGCAGGATTGATCATTTATAAAACCTTATGGCATAATAAACATTACAACTAATAATGATGAAATCATTATTCTTCTTCAGCATTTTTGTTGTTTATAAATGACTGTTTTGTAAATTAAGCATTTCATCAAGTATAAAATGCTTAGACCTAATAGCAGTAGCATTATGTTGAAAGTGTAAGTAAAAAAAGTATTCAGATGCACATTTATGCATGTAAGGATTTATTTTTTATCAACTAGTAAGAGAGCGAGAGCTTCGTCATGAAGTATTTTCAAATGAAAAGTTTAAGGCAGGGGTGTCAAACTCAAATACACAGTGGGCCAAAATTCAAAACTGGAACAAAGTCACAGGCTAACGTTAATATTTATTGAAATATATTTATTCCTCCAGATATAAGAATGAATCTTTTCTTATGGACTCAAACACGTTTTGCTGAATCACTAAATATGGAACAAGCAAAGCTTAATATTAAACAATATATATATTAGCTGTTTAATACCAGTAGGCCAGCTCTAATAGTAATTTGGTATGGCTTCGCGGGCCAAATGTAATTAGGCTGCGGGCCAGAGTTTGACACCTATGGTTTAAGGTCTTTAAAATCTAATGAAAACAAAGATGCTGTTAAAGAATTTATGTGAATTCGATAAGCTGGGCAATACTATTTAATTTGAGAACCAAGAAACAGAAGGTAAAACAGCATCATGGTCTGAAATACATGCGTCATAAATCTGTGTGGGACATAAGGTCTGGTGTGTGTGTCCCTTTTCCTGTGTTGGACAAGTCACTGAGTAAGTGAGGTTAAATCTTTCAACAAGATGAAGACATTAGACTCATGAATATTAAAACCACCAACAATTTAAAGTGATCGTAATTCAGGGTTATTTCACCCACAAACTCTGCAAATTCTATTTAAAAATCTTAGTGGTAGATCAGAGTGCACAGTACAGTATAAATGTCGACATTGGAAACTGGATTTGAAAACAGTTGCTAACCCCCACTTCTGCCAGTAGTGCAAAGGGAGCTGAAAACAGACAAGAGAAGGTAGTTGTAAGAATAGGCTGGACTCACCAGCACTAAGACAAGCATCTGTGGGAAACATAAAATCCTGTGAGGTGAAGAATTTATTTAACAGAAAAGCCTTGTTTGTTAATGATCTACCATTAATAAAAGTCAAATGAAATATCCTCTCCTCATGATGTAGTGGGGTGGCTTAGTGGGCGAAGATTCCCATAATCTTCATTTCCATTGGAAGAAGAGTCTCCACTGACAAGTTCAGTAGAGCCGGATAGACAGGTTAGATCCATCGAAGCTCCAGTTATAACAGAGAAGATGGAGAAGACTGAAGGAATACTTTGAAGAACTCATGAATGTAGAAAATGACAGAGAGGATGGAAGGGGAAAAGTTAGGAAGTGCAGAGGATTAGTAGGGAGGAAGTGAGTGCAGCTGATAAGCAGATGAAGAGTACAAAGGCAGCTGGTCCTGATGTCACATCAGTGGAGGTATGGAGATGTCCAGAAGAGAGGGCAGTGGGCCTTTTAGTCACATTGTTTAACACAAGCCTGAGGAATGGAGAACTGTATTGGTGCAGTGTGAAATGTAGAGTTTCTAAGGTCAGAACTTAGTAACCTTGGGGGGTTACTCCCACTGGGTTTAAATCTGGGACTCTCCGCCATTTAACCTTAGAACTAAAGAAGCTTCTCGGATGAGAGGTGAAACGTCTTCAAGGAACTTAAAGAAGTCCAGTTGCTTTTCTTTCCAAGCTCCTTAGACCACTTGCTGTTAAATGAGTTTTTTCTACCAAAATAAATAATAACAAAATTAGACTT